TTATATGTATATTCTCATCCCTACTTAGCACGAGGCCTTTTGGGAGCTCACTGGCTTCGGGTTCCGTAGGAACTCCGAAGTTAAGCGAGAAGAGGGCTAGAGCAATCCCATGATGGGTGACCCACTGGGAAGTTGCTCGTGAGTTCCCAAAAACAAAACCGTGAGGGAATGGTAAGCCCAAAGCGGACAATATCGTGCTACGGTGGTGGAGCGGGCCCGACAAGTGATCCGCCCCGGGCCGGGATGTGACAATTTGGTATCAAAGCCTAACCCTGGTTGCGTGTGTGTCGACGAGGACGTCGGGCCCCTAAGGGGGGTGGATTGTGACATCCCACATTGTCCAGGGGTGATCCTTAAATGTATATTCTCATCCCTACCTAGCACGAGGCCTTTTGGGAGCTCACTGGCTTCGGGGTCCGTAGGAACTCCGAAATTAAGCGAGTAGCGCGCGAGAGCACTCCCAGGATGGGTGACCCATCGGGAAGTTCTCGTGTGAGTTCCCAGAAACAAAACCGTGAGGGCGTGGTCAGGGCCCAAAGCGGACAATATCGTGCTACGGTGGTGGATCGGGCCCGGGAAGTCATCCCACCCGGGCGGGGATGTGACAATTTGGTATCAGAGCCTAACTCTGGTCGCGTGTGTGCCGACGAGGACGTCGGACCCCTAAGGGGGGTGGATTGTGACATCCCACATCGCCCAGGGGAGTGATCCTTAAAGGGCTTAGCCTCACAATGGGCTAGCAATAATGTGATTCAATCAATTGTTTTTTAAATATTATTTTCTCTATTCTTAATGTAAATTCTATATAAACTGAAATTATTATGTGAATCAGCTGCTTTAATTGGTTTATGAGTGGTTTCTTCTAGCATGATCTAAAATTATGCATTTGCTTCAAATATTTAACTTTTCTTTTGTCAATTTACGCATATAAATACATTTTAAAAAATGTCAATTATAAAAAAGTCTCTCGCACACGCATAATAATGTGATTCAATTAGTTGTCCAATGATCTTTTTTTTTTTTTTTTTTAACAAACGATGTTATGTACACTAAGGGGAGAGAGTGGGCTTAGCCTCACAATGGGCTAGCAATCAGTTGTTTATTAAATATTATTTTTTTCTAATCTTAATGTAAATTCAATAAAATGTAGATGGAAATTGAAAAATCGCTTTTATTAATATGAATTCAATTATTTTGATTAGTTAAAAGAGCGCTTTTATTAAATGCATTTATTATTCATTTCCATCAACATTAATAAGTACATTTAAAACATGTAAATTACGCGTAACACGTTGTGATTCAAAAACGTCTTATGCATGTTCATGAGCGCGTGTATGGAGGCTAGTCTTATATATAAAGCCAAAGCCCCACTTTGGGGTCACGGCTTCAATAAAAAAGAATATGGCTAAAATGCCCCTCAGCAAAAAATTAAAATAAAATCAAAAGCAACAAAAAATAATGCATAAAATAATACAAGGATAATTTTGTAATTTTAATAGTGCTTTTTTTAATAATTAATTTTTTGGTGCATTGTAATGCTGGTTATAAAAAATATCTTTTGCACGCGGATAATAATGTGATTAAATTAATTGTCAAATGATTTTTTTTTTTTGACAAAAAATATTATCTACACTAACGGGGAGTGGATGAGCTTAGCCTTACAATAAGCTAGCAATAATGTGATTCAATCAATTGTTTATTAAATATTATTTTCTCTATTCTTAATGTAAATTTTATAGAGATCGATTTTATTATGTGAATTCAACTGCTTTAATTGGTTTATGAGGGGTTTCTTCTAACATGATCTAAAATGATTCATTTACTTCAAATATTTGATTTTCCTTTTGTCAATTTACGCATATAAATACACTTAAAACATGTAAGTCACGCGTAGCACGCGCATGCATGAAGGCTAGTTTACATATAAGTAGAGTTTTTTAGAAAGCATTTTCTTGAAAATTCATGGTTTGTTGCAAAATAAGAACGTTCGGAACACACACTATATAAACCGTTCACCGCAATAATCCAAACTTCAACAAGACAAGTCAACTAACAATCTTCATCTATCAAAACTCCCAACCCAAAACTCTTCTCTCTCTTCGTTCTTCTTTTTCCCTAATCTTTGTGCATTGAAATGACGAGCTCCCTATTTATACAAACGCCACATCCCCCCTCATGTTAATTGCATGAAACAACTATATGGCTCAGACTCTGGTGACACGCTCTTTATGTTTAGTATGATTCTCCTACTGTGTAAGGTGTGTTAAGTTTGTGTGTTCAAATAATTATAACCGGTCGATATCAAGAGTGGAACTACACTATGGCTACCTTGGGTCTGCACCACAAAGTAATTTGACAGTTCAAAAATAAGTCTACTTTTACTTAACATTCTCAAGTGATGGTGATGCTTACCTTCCTATTTATCATCATCGGAAGAGTTTAAATTTCAAGATCTATGTAGTAAATAAATACAAATCTCAAAATTTAAACTCAACCAACGATATTAAGTATGGTGGTCAACATTATAAAGGAAAATACACCCCTTGTATGATACAAACTAAGCCCCCTACAAAAAAACAATGCGGTGCGTTCATTTTCTTGATTACTTTATATAAACTAGACTAAGCCCACATATTTTGTGTGAGAGAGTAGTTTTTTTTTTATTGGGTAAATTATAATTTGAACTTATAAATTTGGGTGCAATTGCATTCTCAACAATACAAAAACTTGTACTTTAATTATAATTTCATATATTTGTTAGTCAATCTGTTAAATTAATTTTTAATGATGATGCGAAAAATATGAAGCCAACACTTTTGAAAGAAATGAATAACAAAATTGTTTAGAGCATCTACAAAGGAGAAGTCTAAATCCTAGGTGGAATCTCATTATGCATATTTGACATCAAAAGTTTCTCCAACCGAAGTGTTATTTGCTGATTGGATTTGAAGGCTTAGTGATTTGATTATTTTTAATTCATTTTAATAGTGAGTCCCTTATTCTACTAACATTTCAATAAATAAAAAATTTGTTTCAACATTTTTTTAATAATTACAATAATTTAAAGCTCTATTTAAATAATAAAATAATATTTGACAATTCAGTTGAAGAAGTACAAAATTTGACATAACACTTCAAATTGTCATATCAGTCATCAATTATAATTTAACTTTTATAATTTGATATTTCCTTTGGAGATGGTCTTAGAATGTTTAACTTAAGAAGAAATCTATTTAAAACAGAAAATAACTTTGTTATGCAAATTTTTTTAAGAGACCGTGGGCCCCACCCCTTCAACTATCCATCTTCCACTTCAACCTGCTTCCCCTCCGCACCCTGTGGGTGGTTGGATGTGTGGAGAGGGGGAAGGGGAGTGGTTATTTGTTCACCTAAAGTTTGTTCATTCTATGTGGCATCATTAATTAATTTTACGGAACCCATATGAATGTCGCATCATCATACTATACTAACAGAGTTTTTAATAGAATTAGATTATAAAGACAACTTTGATGATCAAAACAATAGATAAAGAACCAGACTGATGAGTTTAAAGCATAAAAGGCCAAACTTATCAGTTGCCAAACATAAAAGATCATTCATGATAAAAAATAAAAAATAAACTTAGATAGTATAGATATGCCACACAAGAGTAGTTTCTAGTTACATTTGCTTGTGTACATACTCTCCGAGACTGCCTCAACGTAAGCTTATTTACACATACACGGTGCCACTTCAACAAAAATAGAAACAAAGAGGCAGTGGCTGCCACCGTTGCCTCCTCAAGCGTAAACTACTGTGAGAGACATCTTCTGCCCTCTCGAGCAGTGGCCGGGAAAGGTGCACATGAAATGGAATGTGGTGGGGGTGAGAACTCGAAGACCGATAGTATACTTGGATGCAACTACGGGAACCGCCGTGGTGTTGCATACATTGTAATTATGCCTCTCCACCCATGCCCAGTTTTGTTTACCGTATTCAAACTTAAATACTTCACAAATAAGGATGTATTATATATATGCAAACACTAAATGTAGAGGCTCACTATCCTGATAGGACATGCGTACCTAGGATGTCGTTTACTTTGACTCCATGCTTTGATGCCCATGTATTATAGTAGTTGTCGTAGGGTGGTATGGTCCATCCACGTTGGTCTCCGACTATGTACGTAGCAGCTTTTGCTTCGTGTAACTGGAGCATCAGTACTAGCACTACCATCATAGTCATCGCACTCATCACATTCGTCATCGTGGTGTTTAGAAGACGTATTTGTGACATGTTTTGAACCATGGAAGATCAGCCTCGAATTATAGCACCTGAGAGGTTGGAGTCCTCCCCTGGTATCAGAGAAATGCACTGTGCGTGCATGAGTTTTGTAATAGAACTGCCGTGTGAGTGTCTACTCATCGCTCACCCATTTTCTGTTTTTGTTTCCGTTTCTGTTTTTCCAACGTTAGAGGCAAAAAGAAAACAATAAACGAAGTCGGCACTGAATGTCATACTCTAGGCAGAAGGTAAAGTAACAGTTGGTGGAAAGAAAGGCTGGTGATCGCAATGCACGTCTCTCTCTCGTCACGTGAATCACCTTTCATTCCACCAACATCAAGTGCAAGTCACGATGGACCCGCACCCAAGGGAAAAAAAGCGTGGAAGAAACAGTTGGTTCCTTTCAAGACGATGATCTCCTGGACAGCTCAAGAACCAGTTGGTTTCATCCAAGACAGCAAGCAAGAGAACAATTTTATGAATCCCAACTTACATAAATTGATAAACGAGGTTTAACAACATACAACAATTCTCGACTCTACATTAAAGAGGTCTACTGATTTTCATAAAGCGAACAATGCATCTCCAAGATGACCAATAACATTAGCAGTTCATTAAGAACAAGGAATGTAAATTCTACTCTGATCAAACTGACGAGCTAAATTCTGCCTCACTACTTCATAACTCCTGACCGAAACGCAAACAACACAATAGCAAAGGATGACAGACGCCTCCTCTCACTTCCTCCTTTTGGCAGGTGGCTCTGGAATCTCTTCCTCCTCTTCTTCCTCTTCTTCTCCATCCTCATCTTCATCATCATCATCATCACCATCATCATCGTCGTCGTCATCTTCATCATCCTCTTCATCACTGCCTCCGTCACCATTGGCTTCAGGATCATCCTCTGGATCCCCTTCTTTATCTGCCCCCTCATCACCTGAGAAGTCCTCATCTCCTGCATCATCATCCTTTGGGTCATCCACCTCCTCATCATCTCCATCCTCTTCGTCATCCTCTGTATCGCTGGCATCTTTGTTTTCCGCACCAGGTTTTTCCAGTTTCAGAAGTTCTTCAAAAGGAAACCTAAGAAGGAAGCACCACTTACCAACTTAGATTTGATTATGCCCTGAAAAACCAATGGTGCTGGTATACGATGAACAGAATATCAATTTCCTTACCTTCCAGTGACTGCAGTCAATTCTGGTGACGTATTGATATCATTCATCAGCGCCCCAGTCTGAAACAACATTAGCCAGCGTTGGTGAACAGCTTATGACAAATAACATCAGGCTTTTGTTTTACGTATTAGAAACGCTATCCTAAGAAGACAGGGTTCAAAATGAATATCAACTAATATTTTCATTGGTTGACCTAAACAACATACACAATACATATCATTGTTGATAAAATGGATTCTAAAAAGGCATTTGAACATGCATCTCATAACGTTGCAGGCAACGGCCAGCAACACAAAACAAGTTCTCAAAATATACTTTATAAGCAATACCAAATCTAGTCAACAACAAAATAGGAATTCCAACACAAGGCCTACATCACTCAATTATATGAAAATTTAACAAACTTAAGCCAGATATTCAAAACTAAAACTACCAAATATTCGGTCAATGCAAAATCCAATGCTACAGCCCAACTACAATTACATTCATACATTGTTAGGAAAAGCGGAGAGTGCATATTTGTTATCTTAGAATGGCAATACCATATACGCAATGTCTGCAAAAATTTCCTTGCTGCAATCCTCTGTTCTCATTATAAGCGGGAAAAGCAATTGTGAGCATGCACAGCAAAGTTTATGAACTTACAGAAACCAGGGCATTAGAACCTCTATGGCAGACCGCAAACGTTAAGAAATTTGTAACCATAAGTAACAGTACATCAAAACAATCCAGTTTCCACACGAATTTTTCAACAACAAACAACAAACGAAACAACTTTTACACAAAGTTACACCTAAAGCAACAATGAAAGAGCGGATTCACAAGAAAACCCACATTCTTCAGCACCTGTTTAAAAGAAGTAGAAGTTTAAGACGACCAATAATTCACAAAGAGTTAAAATTGTTTACAAACTTATGTCGAAATCTAAAACACCGACAAGCAGAAAAGGGTTGTACTCCACATCTACAAACTATCACCCTTAATGTATAAACCAAAGCAAAGGGCTTTTCTCCCCCAAACAAACCTAATTCACAAAATTACCAAATTTCATCCCTTAAATTTATCCAAAAAATAATAATTAACTTTTCAAATTTCAAAACCATAGTAAAAGTAAGAAAAAACCCAAACTTCTGAAATATTAGTTCAGTTATAGAGCTGCACATTAATGAGATCTCAAACTGTAAAAAGTTAAAAACATAGCAAAAGCATGAAAATTTTAACACTTAAATTCAACCCATGTCATAATTTTCTACACAAACTGAGAGAGAGAGAGAGAGAGAGAGAGAGAGAGAGATGTATACCGCAAGGAGCAGTAGAGCAAGGGAGTTGGGAGCAGCAAGGACAGTGTTGACCACCATTGCTTCCAAAAAAGAGCCAAGCCACATGCCCTTTTTCTCAGAGGCGCACAACTCCATCTTCTTCGCTGCAAAAAAAATCTCAAAAATACACTGAAAAAGTAGACAAAAAAATCAGAGCAAAAATTGCACAAACAGAGAGAGAGAGAGAGAGAGAGTGTGTGTGTGTGTGAGGGGAGAGAGAGAAAGTGTGTGTGTGGGGAGAGGGGGAGGGAGGGGATGAGAGAGGGAGGGAGGGAGGGAGGGAGGGAGGGTGAATTTGAAGGGTGTCTGGGGCAGAATGTCTGGTCTAGTGAGTAGTGAGGGTGAACCCACGGGGGCTTTGTCCGGTTAGGGTTCTACCGCCACCATGGTACATTTATATATGCTGACTAACTGCTCATTAGGTATTTTTAGGGTCAATGTGGTAAATTTTGCATTGACTTATTGGGTATTGCGAAGGTCGTGGAAGTAGTGAAAAGTGAAAACTATTTTTAAATTTGATTTTCGTAAAAAACGAATTTAAATCAGATTATTACTAATTTATTGTAAAGTTAAGCTCATTCTTACCTTTTTATTTTTTAACTTTTAATACAACAATTTATATGTGGATTTGAGCTAAATCTCATCATAGGCCAACCAAAATAACTGAAAATATTTTTGCTCACCACACTACAACAATGGTGATGCTTATCACTTTATTAAATATTGTTTGATGAGTTTGATTTAATCTATTTACTGCATAAATCTCAAAATTTAAATTAATTTAACGGTAATTAATAAGGTGGTAGACATTACTACCGCTTTATATTGATGAGCAAAAATACACACAAAATAATTTGATATTAAACTTGTTATCCACGTTAATCGAGCTGAAGTCATCTTACATGAAAATAATATCACTAGAACAGCAAAAATGACATTTCGAGCATGTCAAGAGGACGAAAAATCTAACTTTAATAAATCACATGGAAAACAACCGGTGAAGAAAAACTATACCCCACATGTCCAAAGAAATTATTAAAATCAATCAACTCAAAAAACATTTCACAAAGAGCAGAATAAAGTGAGGAGGTTGCCTCAAACCAAAGACATTTTAATGGCCAGAGAGACACTAAAACTAGTCAAGCGACCAGCAACATCCATCAAACTTGCAGACGAAACATAAGAAATTTTGACACACTTTAAACTATTGCAACACTAGAGTCCTCAATGAGCCCATTTATCACACATTGTTGCCCGAACAACCTGCATTGCATAGTAATATAAACTCGATTTCAAATTTGACCAATATAGGGCTCGTTTGGACAGGGTCAAAGCTACATGGGGTCTAGGATAGGCCAAGGCCCATCCTGAATTTTCACTCATTTATATGTGCATTTTTGCTAGTTTATACAATAAAGAGTATATGGTTCATTGGTGGAGTAGACTTTAAAGTTTTAGCAAGTCGTGGGCTCAAGTTTGTTTATGCAAACAATTTTCTAATTTTCTCACCTCTTAAGCCTTAAAACTAGTGTTTTTAACAATATAAGGTTCTCATGCCAACAGCCTTTTGATTTTTCAAAACTTTTTTTTTTTAGTTCATATAAAACAAGATCTATATAATTTAGAGAAAATTTAATTATGTTGAAAGAAAAATCTTAAAATAATAGTTTTGAGCTAGCCATGACTTTAAATTTTTGTTAGAATCTAATGTGTTAATTATTTTTTTCTTAAAGCTCGTACACAAGCTATGTTCTTATGATATTATCTCAATATAAAATTTTTCATACAAATTTTAAAGTTCCATTAGTCTTGCTTCAGGTAAAATTTTCCATGACAATACAAAACAACAACAAAACCTTTGGTTGTTCTTCAATTAATTATACTTGTAACTATTTTGTTCTAATTTCTTTTATTTGACTTAAAGATCCTCGTGTGATGGATCTCTGGCTTCGTCACTATGTTTGGAAATGCTTTTAAAATGACTAAATCACTTTTGGTGAAAATGTTTTTGAAATTAATCCTCAATAAAAATCTGAAGTGTGTTCTAGAAAAACAAAAGGCACATATATGGTGTTTCTTCCAAAAAACACTTAAAGTGGTTTTGGAACCCAAAATTAATTGACTAAAAGCGCTTTCAGTCATTTTAAAAACACTTCCAAATGAGCATCTTCTAATTTTACACACTATTTTTAATTTCTCTTACACGTCTCTTTATTTATGGTCATCTTGTTAAATAAATTAATGGAAAATGACCAAAATTAACATGGTTTTGTAAGAGATTAAAAAGAGCATCTGAAAATCACTTACCTTTAAAGAAAATGATAGTGCTATTCACATACACATTTTTACTTTCCACATACTCTCGTTAATATTTGACCATTGATCTTTTTCAGTTAATTAGATACGATAGTCGAAAATTGAGAGTGGTGTAAGAGAAGTAAAAATGAGTGCGTAGATAGCATTACCATAAAAAAGTTATAACTATACTAATAGCTAGCTAGTGTTTTTTTTTTTTTTTTTAATACGTAAAACATAAATGATGGTAATAGTATTGGTTCATGTATATGAGAGCAAGTCCACCGAGAATGGACAGCCCGGCACCCAACCAATTTGCTCTAGCCCAGCCTAATAAGCAGGCTCACAGCCTAAGTCGTCCCATAGGACGGCCCAGAATGTGCTGAGCCAAGGCCCCGCCTATGTGACATCATGCTAACGCAAGCGTGACGTCACGGGCTGCTTTAAATATTTTTGCGCCAGGCACGTGGGAAGCACGTGCGAGTGGGCGCGTGTCCCGAGGACCCCGACAAGAAAAAATGGGCGGGGCTCGCATGTGCAGGCGCAATCACGGATCTGAAAGGGAGGCCACATGACTCGTTCTAGGCCGTTGGATTTCCAATGGTAAAAAAATTTGAATTTAAAAACCAACCGCTAGTGACGTGGCGTGATCTGGGCTGTCCAATCCAGAGATCAACGATCCACGTTCCCTCCCCCCCCCCCACCCCAAAAAAAAGGCACAATGATTAGAATTATGACTGTTGGCCACGTGTCAACATATGGGCTGTTGGATTTGAATCTTTTTCAAATCCAACAGTCCAGATTAATTAACTAAATTAAAATGAATAAAAATTCAATACAAAATTATTAAAAATTGTTAAAAAATACATAAAAAATAAAAAAATTAATTATTTTTTTCTATAAATACCTAAAACCATCATCTTCCACCTTACACCACATTTCAATATTTTTAGTACTTTATTTAAACACACCAAATAAATTTAAAGAAACACACGAATAAAATTACATAAACTTACCAAATAAACTTAACAAAACACACTAAATAAAATTACATAAACTCACCAAATAAACTTAAAAAAGCACACTAAATAAAATTACATAAACTCACCAAATAAACTTAAAAAAGTACACTAAATAAACTAAGAACTTTATTCTTCCACCACAAACTCCTTTTAATTATCTTCACCTTGTTGCAATCCCCATTGGTGCTTAATCAAGTCATTTTGACGGGTACAGTGCCAGTATGGCTCTTGCAGTGAAGTGTACCGCTCAACGATCAATTGATTGTAACATCCATCCTGTTCCAATGGCTCGTGTTGCACGGGATCTTCGGTGCCGTCATGAGCACAATAAATACGTGTTATTGAGTTGTTCATTGTGTCTGACTCATATTTATCGACGACATCATAATCATACTCATCTTCCACAATCATGTTATGGAGAATTATACACGTCATCATTATGGATTGAAAAGCCTCGACATTAAACATTTTGGCAGCTGACCTAACAATCGCCCAACGAACTTGCAGGATACCAAACAACACTATACATCATTCCTACACCTCTCTTAACATTGTGCGAAGTGTTTTTCTTTTTCACTTTGTGGATGTGGCATTGTTTTGACAAACGTTGTCTACCTTGGGTAAATGTCGTTTGCAAGGTCGTACGGTCCATTATATCTTTGGCCATTAACCCCATATGTGACTCTGGATGCTTTTCCTTGCAGCACTTCGTGGAAGACTAGAGATTGGGCAATGACATTTAGGTTATTCTAAGCTGCTAGGAACACAAAAAAATGCATGCCAAATCCATGTATGAGATAAAGCCACCGCTTCCAAAATGATACTTTTGGCTCATTTTCTATCGCCATAAGCTCTTTGCCACACACTTGGACGTTTTTCCATGTCCAATGCATGCAATCAATGCTTCCAATCATGCCAAAGAAGCCTCGCATCTCACCCTTCCTCAGCATCATTCGCAAGTCCTTTGGCGTGGGTGTCCGAAGGTATTCATTGGTATAGAGGGCTTCGATTGCAGAGCAAAACCGCATCAGGGACTTTATAACAGTTGATTTTCCCATCCTCGTTATCTCATCCACTTGACCTGCAAATGTTCCATATGCAAGCATCCGCAAGGCAGCAATAATTTTTTGCTCCAGAAGAAGACCTAGAACATGAAAAACATCATTTTTTTGCACAAAGTATGGATCATGGTTGCAAATAGCACTCATGATTTTGTCGAACAAACTTTGTTGCCTTCTAAAATGACATCTAAAAACATGATCAAGGAATACACAGTTAGGGATAAAATAATCTTCCAAGAGACCTTTACCTCGTCTTTCCCTCTTTCTATCCAAGTTTGCAGCACATCTGGGTTTGGATATTTGACCCACAACTTCCATGACATTACGAGAATGCGAGGCCCTCTACCTTATATGTTCATCATCCTTATCCTCCTCCATTGCGAAAGTCCTCATCTCACCTTCCTCGAGATTGAACAATTATTCATAGTTGTGCCAACAATCTTTTCTGTTGTTCCTTAAACTATTTGGACAATCTCCTTGAATAAGACATTGTAAGAACTTAAGATTTAAAAACGATGAAGAAGGATTCTGAGTTAAAAAAAGGATTGAGTTTGGTGTGTGAATGATGATGGATGTAGGGACTAGGGATGTAGGGTTTATAAGGACAAAAAAAGAAATGATGAGGTTCTAGACAATGCCACGTGGCACTATGTGATTGGTAGAAAATCTTATCAAAATATTGGCTAAATTAATGTAAACAGATAGTGACACGTGGCGTGTAGGGGATTCATTGAAAATCTAATTGGAAATCTATCCACAAAATAGTACGTTCAGATAATGACACGTGGCGTGACAATATTGGTTGAAAATCTTATCGAAATCTTGGCTAAATTATTGTAAACAGATAGTGACATATGACGCGTCGAGATTGGTTGAAAATCTTAGTGGAAATCTATTCACAAAATAGTACGTTCATATAATGACATGTGGCGTGACGAGATTGGTTAAAAATCATATCTGAAATTTAAACTAAATTTAAAATTTATTATTTTATAAAAAAAAATTATTAATATTTTAAATGGGCTGGATGTCAGCGCATTTTTAGACTTTGTGCCAGTGCATTTTTTAGGGTTGGAGAAGCATTTGACCAATTTACTGTTCATGGGATCTATCACTATTCACTGAGTGGATTAAATGGGCTAAGTGTCAGCGCATTTTTTTAGGGGTGGACTTGCTCTGAGTTGGGTTTCTATGTTATCATCACCATGATGATATAATTGCGACTTATCAGATGTTACACCCCAAAATAATGAGGATATATTATATGTTCATTCGTTGATTATTCTCGTCTGGTCATCATTATCATAATTCTTACGATATGGTTGTTAGATTAGTCTCACAATTAATTACGTGTTAATCTAATTAGTATTATATGAGCTACTTAGTACTACGGTCGAGTGATATTTATTCTCACTTGTAAGAGACTTAACCCAACTATCGTTAAAAATAAATAAATAAATAATAAAAAACTAGTGAAATTAGGATGATGTTATCCATACACCATGTTAATTTTTATCTTTTGAGTGTGTTCAAAGTAAAACGAAACGTGTGAATAGTACTCATGAAAGTATTAATATTATGTATGTGTTGATAACCTATTGGGTTTCTAATCTACCTAATGGTAACAACCGTGACATTGTTTATGTGAATCTTATACAGTTATACTCAACACGTCTTATATACAGTTAATATTTTTTAAGATTATCAGAGTTGCGTTTAGGATGGGCTTTTGACCAATTTGCTTATAAACTTGTTAAAAGAGCATCTAGAAATCCAGGTCACAGTAAACCCCAACACATAAGATTCCATCCCCATCTCTGATGGTGCGCGGGTTGATGTGGTCGCCCAAGTGAACACTTGTCCTAAAAGAAGAGATTTTTAGTGTGCCAAGAATATAGTGTGAGACATTAAGTATAATAATATAATTAGTTAGAAAGTAAAAAAAAAAAAAAAAAATCTACCAATTGTATTATGATATTTGATGTACCGGACCGTATTTTCCGAACATTAAAATATTTCTGAAGAATCTAGTTGGATTAGTGGGTTACGATATTTAATAACAAACAAAGACCATCAGTTAACAAATCAAAAGCCAATTGATGAGATTGAAGTAGAATTACGATAACGATTAGTGTGAAGTTGTAATCCAATCCTACTCATTCGACTTTGACCAAAAAAAAAACAAAAAAAGTAAGTAAATACTCATTCGACTAACTATAAAAACCCAAGCAAGACCAACATTTATAAGCACAACTCGTACAATATCAAACCTACTATTCTCTCACGAATCAATCATGAAGATCTCCAGTTTCTGTTGTGTTGATTTTTCTGTGCTCGGCATTGTTGTTCCAAGTAGGGCTTTGTAGGTTTAACAATGTCGACCATGCCGCACACCCAAAAACAGTCTCCCGGTTTTATTTTTATATTGGTTGGCCGTTTACGCCTGCACCGGCAGCACCAAAACCGCAGCCGGCCACCCCGGAACAGCCACCAGCCGCCCCAAAGCAGCCACCGGCCACCCCAAAAGTGTCAGCACCGCCAGCTTGGAAACCACCTTCAGCTCAAGCTTATCAGACATGTTGGGCATCACTAGCTACCATTGACAGATGTGTGCTCGACATTGTTGCAGCATTTTTCACTCTTGACTTCAGTCGCGTTGGACCGGATTGTTGCGCTGCCGTCGTCGGAGTTGATGACAGTTGTTATGGCCAGATGTTCCAGCAGTTCAGCAATAGGTATTATGCTCCTGCGCTGAGACAAAATTGCGCTAAGCGCTCTGCACCCAAAGCACCTTAAGGATTCTAAAGCTTGATTATTCAACAGTTTTATTAGTTTTTATTAGAATTTTATTAGGATAATAATGGGATCAATTAGATGATCTAGCTAGTGTTTCTTGTTAGTATTTTTTCTTTTGGGATTTATTCTCGACTTAATTAAGAATGCTTGATTTTGTTACTTTCTTCCCAATTCAATTCAAGAGCTTTTCATTTATTTGTTTTTATATACATTTGGAGGCTGAGCCCTCACATTACTTCTCTATATGTATTTGGTTATTTGCTCGTGCATATAATTTCTCCAAGTCCAAGCAAGAAAGGCAAAAATACTAAAGAAGGTTAATCACTGCATGAGTTGAGTTAGTTAAAATTGTTGATCCTTTTGCAAGCAAAATAATCTGGGTGATGCTAATTATTCACAAATAATCTGACGGATTGTGATGCTTTCCCGTCTCTATGAGTCTTCCTGGCCCTCAGAAGGTGCCACCAGTTATCCATCCCTTTTTAAAGAATTTTTTTTTTTTATTTTCACAAATTTTTTTTTTTATTCTAATAAATTAATAATATTACAGGATAAATCCAAAAACAATTTAAATTTGGAGATTATTTTGTACTAGTTAGCTAAAATGCTATAAAGCGCATTTAGCAATAGTGAGAGATGAGAGCAATTGCATGTACGAAGCTACTAACTAGTAGCTAGCATGCATGCATACCAATACAATCACCTCCAATTGCCAAAACCAAGCCCGGCTCCAACACCGGTTGCCAAGCCTGCCTCCACCTCCAGGAGCATCAATTGATATTTATAATTCAATTCAGCCTTCCCACATCGGCGAAAGATTAAACTATGTAAGAGCTTATAAGTATAAGTTCAAATGTTATATTTTTTGTTACGTGGTAATAATATGTATTTCACGTGTCATAATTAAGTGAAAAAAATAGTTGAATATTAAGATGACAATAAAATCGATACATTTCCCTTCCAACCATTCATTGAGCTTAATAGTAACATCAAACACCCTCAATAATTTAAACAAATTTAGTACAAAACATTGTTTGCATAAAAAAGGTTATGCCTGGAAAGAATAAGTAATAAAATAGGATTCAAAATTTAACTCAATCTCTTATTGCTGTATAAAAAAATGCTAGAAAGCAATGAGTCAAATGACTTAGCTACCATGTAAATTATAACATATTCCTTAAAAGAAAATCGTGATGTCTTTAGTTCTAGTTTGGCCTATTTGACATCTACTATGAAGATGTTTTAAAAATTAAAAATTAAACAAAAAGAGAAATGCCGAAGCCTTGAGAAATGAAATATTAAAAGAGTACACACTAATTTTTACGTTTCACGCATTATCCTCAAATTTTAGCCGTCCAATCTAATATATTAGAAGATTAATTTAAACAAATTAACAAATAAGAATAGGTGTGTTAAACTATCAATAATACTAAGGAAAATTGATTAAAATGATTTGAAAACTTTAAATTTTAACAATAAGAGCAAAATAATAGATAAAATGAATATATCAAGATTGATTTTTTCTTTAAAATTCCCGTACGATTATCGTATTGGAATCGGGCTACTGACAATCCTTAGGCAAATCCTTTGGCTTCTTCTTCTCTCCCCCCCTCTCTCTCTATCCTCTCTCCTTCTTCCTCTCTCTCCCCACCACCCAACCCCAGTCAACACGGCCGGCTTCGCAGAAAAACCCTAAATATCCAATCCCCCAATTTGATTGGTTTATTTAATCCCAAATTGAAGGTCAACGAAACCAAATAAGCCAGCTCCGCCGGTCGTGCTGCTCAATTTTTGGTTTTTGTGCGTAGAAATGTCGTCGGAGATCGAGGTCGTCGAGGACGAGGTCCAAACCCACGATCGCGAATCTGCCTCAGCCAATTCAGCAAACAACAATGGCGAAGCCAATGGGATTGGGGAAGAGAGTCTGCGAAACGACGTGTACACGGCAGCTGCATACGGGGATTTGGAGAAGCTTCAGAGGTTGGTGGAGTGTGAGGGTTGCTCTGTTTCCGAGACCGATGGGCTCGGCTACTATGCCCTCCAGTGGGCCGCTCTCAACAACCGCACTGCCGCCGCTCAGTATATTATTGAGGTGAGGGTTCTCCATTCACTCTCTGCCTCCTTTTTTTTTTTTTTTTTTTTTGTTGTTTTGCATTTTCATGGAGTTTGGTGAATCAGGTTTGCTTTGTTTGATGGGTTTTTGAAATGTGCTTAAGTTGTTTATCCGAATTCTAGATTTCGTATTGATTCGAGGCGTTGTAGATAAATTTTGTGCTACTTGGTTAACTAAAAATCCAACATTTGCACATAATTCTTCTCTTCTATCTATGAAAAGGAAATAGAAGCCAAGAAATGAAATTTTCGGCCTATAGATGTTTGCTTTAGAATGAAGATTTCGTAAGGAAAAAAAAAAAAAGTGAATTTAGCATTGGGAAGGTTGCTATTTTTTTTTTCTTGATGCTATTTATGATTATTGCTCTTTTTTATTGAAAACAAAATCGAACACAGGACATGTGTATTGG